AAGATTTTTTGAATATTTCTATTGGTTGTAAAGTTGTGTCTGAGCAGGTTGTGATGCAGTAAGTCTATGTGTGAAAATCTATCATTGAGTTTAGAAACATTTTAGCAGAACTGATGTCATCGATGATCTGATCTGCTTTAAGTTACGTATATTAAATTTAATTGTGTTTTCAGTGAGTTTGATGTGTTTTTTAAATGAAAGTGTTGTTTCCAGTGTGACCCGAGGTACTTTGACTCTTCTACAAGCTCAAGTTCCACTCCTACCATATATTTATAGATATATATCTATCTATATATATATAGATATATATAGATAGATATATATATATGTGTGTGTGTGTGTTTGAGCTCGATGTGAAAAAAGGAGTTGTGTTACCTACCAACTGTGGGACCTTTATGTGGAAAGAGCCAGATGTGTTTTATAGCGGATTGTAATGGCTTTGTCCTCTGTGAAATGACACTGAAAAAGAAGATCTATTTTTATCTTTCTGCTTGTGGGCAGGCATGGGATTGCTTTTATTCAACAGTATATTATCAGCCTTGTGGGGTTTAAGATGAGTCTGCACAGTTTTTAATGGTTTTAAAAGATAGAGAAGTTGTGATTTAAATTTATAGGTCTGACGATTCTTCAGTAAAGCTTTAAAATAGACGAGAACAGGATTTAAATTCCTGGTCTAACCCAGCGTTTAATCTGTTGGCTTCATCTGGGATGTGTTGGATAAACTGAGGTCTTCTATTTGCACACCTGTCACCTCCATACATTTTTTTTTATCCATTTTGTATCTTTATATTTTCTTCATTAAGCTTTTCATTTAAACACGCTGCTGCACGCCATCAGGTTATAACTGTAGTGATACAGGGATGGCTGCAATGAACAGTGATGGAAACAGGATGGAAACATGGGAGTTCAGATTAACGGTTTCCATGCTGTCTCTAAGGAAAAGTCCAATCAGCAAGGAATACTCAATGGATCATTATTTATACCTAAAACTAATACATTTGCGGTAATTTAATGAATTTAGAGTTAATCAGTAAAAAATAAAAACAATATTTATTGCGATAGGTCCCACACTGGAAAAATTATCTAGAAATAAGTAACCTTTTCTTAAATTAAGTGTATTTACCGTAACTTGAGTAGGTAAATGAGGTAGTTTGCCAATGGAAT